CACAAGACTATCCATTATCCGAAGGCGATATCGTTTTAATATTACGAAGTATTTAATATTTACTATTTTAGTGCATGTTGCTTTTAATATTTGAGTGCTAAATAGACAGAGCTACTTATTCTCAAATGAAATAGCCCCTAAAGACGCTTCCTATGCTGCAAGCTGCTTAGCGTACACGTAGGAATGCGTGTTTTCGAGGCCATACTAAAATATACGTAATACTCTGTTCTTAATACAGTGCTGTTATTAATTATAGGGTCACTAGATTTTTTCAACTGTGCTCACAATACGAGGAGTTAGATTGTGCCGCTGGGCTTAAAAAACACTTGCCTAATGTCTAACAATTAACGGCAACCATTTTTTAAAAATGTACGTATTGCACATGTACATTCCCCCTCCCCCCCCGGCCACACGCGGAATCCGCAGGCACCTCCACGCTGCCAAGAGGCAAGAAACTGTCTGAGGAGGAGATAGGACGGGTAAAAGTGCACTTTAAGGATGGAAAAAGCAAGCTCTGGATAGCACGAGAGATTGGCCGAAGTCCGAACGCTGTCTGCAACGTATTGAAAGCGGTTTGCTCTTAAGGCTGCAGGTGTGATGGTTGGTTTCTACTTGCTAGCCCAAAACTGTTGGTTGTCAGGGAGTGAAAAATATTATATGAGTGCTCACTGGATATCAAAAAAAATATGAATAGTTAGCAAATTTGCGACAAAATAAAATATAGCATATCAAAATATTAATATATTGCTTTGCATATTTATTTTTCGTGGCCCCTGTTTACTGCTGTAAACCAATGTTTTCTAAGAGTTGTTTAGACAGCAAAACCCGATACTACTTAACCGGCGGACGTTTCGTCGACAGGGGCGTAGAATACGATTTTAAATGGAGCGGCAAGAGAACAACACAACACGAGACGTGAAAATTATAGTTGGTTAAGTAGACCCCATAACGATGCGTTAATAAACTTGGAGCCTAAATAACGTCCAATAATCCTGGAATCATCGTTAAATTATCAAAAAGAAAACACTACCGTCAACAGCAACAGCAGCAAGGCGTCTTGCGACACATTATCCAAATGCTTTATTCATAACTGGCACAGATTAGAGTGTCTAATGACTCCTTCTGAAACAGCACAAAAAAATTGAGCGCTAAATGCATTAAATTGTACAAAATTAATTTTTTTAGTTTTGGTATGAAAGGTGAACAATCTTTAGTTACTTACAGGATTAAACAGCAATACAAGCGGGTAAGTAGTGCAAGCTGAACACGCCATTACTATCTTTCGCGTTGATGTGAGCTAGGTTTCATGGCTCAGAAACGGCCTACCACGACGCTAAACTAAACATATTGTGTAGCATTTGTATTAACGTTATTAGAAGTGCAGGTGGGGTTGGGTGAAAGATGAAGATACAGTGATAGCCAACATAATATAGAAGTTGTAGTAAGAATCATGATTCAAGACCATTAGAAAAATTATTTTTAACCCCTTTAGCCGCGTTTTTGGTTGAAAATTACCCTGTACAGCACAGGATAAGTGATTGACTTGAGTTAACTATTTGCGAAGTTTTGCAAGGCTCACAATCCCCACGTGTTATCTACTCGGTACAGTACCGGGTAAATGAAAAATCGTGATGCCCAGTTTAGCGTGATAAGCTGTACTTGCCTGACGAGTGGTGAATTTGTAGACAACACATTTCAAATTTTAGTAAATCTATTGACTAACCAAGATTATAAATGATGGGTGTTTCAATACACTCTGCATCACTGGCTTCACTAACTACACTACTAGCTCCGACAACCGATGTCCTCGCACTAATTGACGGTGCCTTTGAACTGCCGTCGCTATCACTTCCTGTGTTGAGATACTCTTCATCCGCTTGATCAGCTCCTGCATGAGGTTTTGGAGCACGGAGTCGTATCGCCTTGAGCCCAGGAGGAATATTTGTCCTACTACGCCAAAGATCGTGCTATATCTGGTATCAAGTAGCTGAGTTCGTCGCTCCGGTCGAATCGTGTTGGCGCACCTTTTGGCAGAGAGATATCTTCCCTCGGGCATTAGTACTATCCGCCGCTCCTTCTCTCGACCTTTCCGCAGAGCACTCAGCGCAATAGAACGTTGTTTCCCACGGGGTTTTCCCAGGGCGCAGCAAGGAGCACACCTTGCACCCATACTGGCGGCATTTCTTCGACTCTTGTCCAATTTTCGTACGTGTAGTGCGAAACGCATCAACTTGTTGTGTAGTGTGGCGTCCTGGTAGCGTGTACCGCGGTGTCGGTGACGGAGGCACTGGCGTCTCCGTCATTGCCTCAACGGACAAGTCTCCTTCAAAATCTGCGGCTCCTACACTGAGCAGTGATTACTGCATCAAACGCATAAACTCTGTGTGGGTTGGCATCGCTCTTCTGCGTTCGCCTCGGACGCGTCGGAAAATGATGGGGTATGTCTTGGACCGAGCGATACGGTAGGATCCTCGTTGCATAGTCTTCGGCCGTTTTGCTTGCTTGTACGGGATAGTTTTGCAGTACCCTCGTCGATTGGTTTGAATGGTCCCAACGTAGTAAATTCCGCGTTTCAGTAAGATGGACGACAAAAGCACACTCGAGTAGAAGCGGTCGGTGATAATCAGCCGCTTCTTTGGTAATCCATCGAGAACGTCTTCCACAGTGCGAAGAACGGCATTGGGGCCTTGATTCAGGTCTGCACTATCACTATCCAGCCGTCCTTGATAAAGTTTTGCCCTATACAGGATATTGCACAGGAATGTCAATAACTATCATGTATTGTACAGGCTTCTGACAAAGCATACCTGTAGCAGTAACCACTATCAGCATCACACAACAAGTAGCACTTCGTACCCCATGGATGGGGTTTTTCTCGGAGGTACTGGCGCATCGGGCTGCACTTACTCTTCATTGGTATCATTCCTTCGTCAAACACAATGCGCTGACCAACAGTCATTCCCAGCTTGAACGTTTGATTGATTGTGTCAGAAATCGGCTTGATCTTCCAGGTCTTGTAACGGAGAGCGTCAGGTGATTCGTTGTCGCTAAAATGTAGATAGCAAATGATCTCCTCGAACCGCTTTCTTGACATATATCGTCCAACTGTCCCTTTGGGAACCGCACCTTGGGCATCTACGGTCCAATGCTTCGACCGTTTCTCTCGATGAGGGCACAGCGCTCGTGCACATAGTAATCCGATAAAACTGACCAATTTGTGAGGCTGAATGGGTTTGAACGCTCTCAGTTCCTTTTGAACTTGCTGTAAACTCTTCATCTTGTACGCTGGACGTCTTTGCTTGATGCGTTTTTGACGTGCCATGATGACGTCCGCTGCCTGCGTGCAGTATTGATGTTGATACCGGTTGGACTCATCTGCGATAGAAACCCACATCTTTTTAGGAAGAAATAGAAAAAATAATCCTTCTAGATTGTTACCGAGTGCTTCAGCTAGCTCGGTAGCAGCTGCTGTGCATTGCGTAAGCTCAGCGGCAGGCATTTGTAGCGAAGTGCCTGCATAGTACATCAAGTTATGTTAGTATCGAATATAGGATAAAGAATAAAGTGAGGTGCAAGATAGCCTGTATCGTACAGCACAATACTTAGATTCGTCTTCAAAGTAGGTTGTCCAGCCAGGCTTCGCATGCTTACTCAATTCTTCCTTGCTCAGCTTGTCGAATGGGGTACCGACGGAGAGATCCACAGCATCCTCTTCATCACTGGTTACTTCTTCTCCTTCATCTTCAGAGCCATCACTGGTGTCCTCAATGTCAGACATATCGTCGTCTTCGTCGTCGATTCCGTATTCATCTTCATCATAGAGCTCATTCGGTCGTCGCCAGCCGAGATATCAACCACCTGATCTGCCAGGCGTGCACGCTGAGGCGGAAGTACACGTCGTTCCACAGCCTCTACTGGTGTTATAGCTGTAGGTCCACCTGCCCGTTTCTTTGGAGTAGCTGGCGGCTTGGCCGGCGACCTGACACGAATCTTGGGCGGTGCTTTTGCTGGAGACTTTGAAGACGTTTTAGCGGGCGACTTGGCAGGTGACTTGGCTTGCGACTTGGCTTTATGCTTGGCCGGCGACTTGACGGGTGACCTGGTCGGCGACCTGACTGGCGACTTAGCCGGGGTCTTGGCCGGCGTCTCGGTCGGTGTCGGCGCGCTGGTAGAGAACTCTGAGTTAGTATTGTCGGCAGGGCGGGGTTGCGAAGCGGGTGTGGTTGCCGCATTGTCTGGTAGATCCGTGGTAGTCGGGGATACTGAGGCGGGTCGCTTGGCAGGTGGGACCTCGTCGTACAACACTAAGAGCTTGTTAGGCAATGTAGCATTTGTAAGTCGTGTACATGTACATACCTTCTACGGGTAAGTGCTTCCACACCTCGTCGGCCCCATAAAAAATCAACGAGATGCGTTACGTTTGGTCTTTTTGCCCAGCCAGCAGGTGTGAAGTATCGGTTGTCATTAGATAGTCCTTTAGGACCCTCGAACTACCACCCCAACTTCTTCAGCTTGGTCCAGAGCTTGGTCCACGTAAGTGGCTTGATGTGCCTTCGTTTTGGCATGGCAATCTTCCTCTCTCGTTTACGTCCGATTCGCGAATGGCGCGAAATTTGCGCGCCCTAAATCTCGAGTTAGCAACGTGACTCTAAAAAATTATATTTGCATGTGTCACTTGTAATTTGTAAAGAAGGACTTAGCATTTGTATGAAGCAAATTACCTTGATATCGTATCCTGTATTATACAGGATACTAAAGTTTTTATCCTGAAGAATACAGGCGTGACCCAGATTAATGAAATTAAAGTATGTACTACGTAGTAGGAGCTTAGGAATTTTTTTTAATATTTATCCTGCCAAAACGTAGCGGAGGCAGGAAGGCCAAAACGTGTACCTACCTAATCTACCGCCGCGTAGCGGCGGCGCTCGGCTAGTTTTCTATTATTAATAAGTCTACTGTTGGCGCTGCGTACTTTATTAATAGAAGTGGAAGCCACGATCCTAATACCGCTCGAAGACGGAAGGCTGTGGAGGCCATGCGCAAGGAGCATCGACATCCATCGTCCGTGAATGGGTCAAACCTGTGGTCTTTGGAATTTCACCATCGCTTCGAGACACTGTGGCCCCACGAGCAGAAACCGAGTCCCATGATAACTTGCGTTGCTCCTCAATTGTTGCTTGAACGCCTTGTACCTGGCTCTCGACGCGACCAAGACGACTTTCCACGCTTGTAATCTTGCACATGAGTGCATTTGACATTTCATTGAGTTGGAGACTGAGGTTAGCGATTGCCGTCGCTAACCTATCGGAATCTTGTAAGCAGCTGCACGGCTGTGGTTGTGCTGATCTTGTGTCGTCAACAGCAAAAGTTTCTTCACTCACACTTTCACAAGCGAACTGCACTGCGACCTGCAGCACAACATTTCCGTCAGTTCAATCTTTATTTGCATATCTCCTCACTCACGTACAGCGGGTGTACTTTAGTATCAATCGGCCGTCCTGTACATACTGGTGCTGGTGGCACAGTCTCTCTCTCCTGGCGTGTCTGCACCGGCATCTCAATCGACACTCGCGGCACTCGTCGAGTCTGCGCAGTGTTTGCTGTCTGTTGCACATTCAGGTGTTGGAGGATATTGGCTGCATGGTTGGCGGGAAACACATGGTTCTCCACGGTAGGCTTAATCTCTCGCTTTCTGCCCCTCTCCTTAGGCGGCGACCATATAGCTCCCTCCCTCCGCTTCAGCCTCTGCAGTTCCTGGCGCTTTTGCGCCACAGCTGCCGCAGAGTCTGCCACGATCGCGATTCTACGGGCTACAAACTGCTTGGATAAGAACTGAGTTACGCTCAGCGACGGGAAGTAACGAAACTCGTTGCGCAGCAGACGGAAGGCACTTTCCACGAAGCGCGCGTCCGTCTTCCCATACAGATCGTAACCTTTGTTCACCAGGAACTGCGCCACGGCACGCGAGGAGTCCAGCAATACGAAGTGAAGCACGCGTAGTAGGTCCGACACATCTCCAGCTTCGAGACGCAGCGCGTTCAGCTGCGGGTACTGGGCGGCGCGCAGCAGCTTCCGCAGGCGCTCGGCCGCATTGCGTGTGTCCTCTTCACCCACCATGTCAAAGACCCAGTATACCCAATTCAAGTGAATCAGAATTTAAAAAACTTGTCATGTATTTTCGACAACAATATCGGATCGACAGTCTATGGCTGAATGAACTTCTGTACTTCAGGTGCAGTCGCGCAGTACCATACGCAGTTGTAATCACGAGCTTGATCATTTGCTCGAAACGCGGCGGCGAACGTGCAGCGAGTTGTACATGAACGAATCCACGAAGCCCGCAATCTGAGAGCAAATTGGACAAGTGAGTAGAAGCAGCTTCGAGGTATGTGCGGAAAACATACCGAGATGACGCCGCCCACAATGGCGCAAATCTTTGTCAGGAAGTGGGTGAATGGCACCCGGTCGTTCTCCACCTTGACCATGAATGGGGAGAGATCGAACACAAAAAAAGTTCCTTCAAACAAGTACATTTGCGTTAGAGCTTTGACACGGAACAGAAGGCAGTGACTGGGTATACAAGTATTTACTACCTGGTAGCGATGTCATCTGACCACGTGGATTCAAGTAGTTGCTCTGTTGGGTCACGGAGAACTGCCACAGAGGAGAAAGCTTGGGCTAACACTCGAATTCAAAGCATGATGAAGGAAATTAGACGCACCTGGTACGAGTGGATCGCGCTCTCGTCGATGTCGCTGTAGATCGTAGGCACAATCTTGATGTAGTACTGGAAGACCCCGCCAGCTGAAGTAAAGAGACACTAAAGTTTAGCCACCTGATAAATCGACCGCAATAGAAGGCAAGAAGCTCACTGACATTGCTCCGCGATCTTCGAGACGCCATCGAGAGGGCTCGTGGCACCAGGAATGGGCTCCCCAAAGGACAGACTGTGGATAATGTGGCTCGAGTTGAACGTGTGTTCCTGCCCAGGCCGAAACTGGTGCACCAGTCGCCCCTGGCGATGGAATGTGCGTCCAAGTGCGACATGGAAGTTGCCGGCCACGCGGTTGACGAACATTTTGCCCGTAAAGCGGCAACCTTCTCCATCCTGAGCAAGCTTCTCCGTGTCGATACTCTCTCGCACACACTGCTCCTTCTGCTCAGCCTCTTCGAGCGACAAATCGCTATGAATAAAAGCCTCCTTCACTTCCTCGCACGTATTGCAGCATTCTTTGCCTGCTGGGTGTCTGGTTCCATAGCAACTTCCACAATATCCAGCAGGCAGATCTGTCTTAGCGAGTTCGTCCGCGGTTGTGGAGATGGAGCGGCCATTGGCGTCTAGTCGCGTCTTGACCACAGTCTGGTGCATGTTAACCTGCAGCTCACCAGCCACGTCCATGGCGTTGATGTGCGCGTCGCGACAGTTGACGGCCAGGAAACTCACATCCAGATTCACCTGAAGCTTCTCACCTAATGTCGAGTCCACTACCATGTGCTCGTGTGTGTTGACAGTCCAGTAGGTGCTCAGCTCGGACAGGAAGAGGATGGCCATGAAAATACCTGCCACGATAGAGACCGTGGCTCCGAATTCTGTTTGTACTTTGAACTCTCGATGCATTTTCGGGTAAACATCCACTTTCTTCAGCGCACGGCGCGCCGAGCGGGCTACGCTGTTCTCTTCTTCGCCCATACCCCCGTCATCCACGTCGCTCTTGACGGCGCGCTGCCGCATCTTGCTGCACTCGCTCTCGTTATGACTATTTGCTGCCGCGTGGATCAAAAGGATAAAGTCACAAGACGTTGTTGTCACAAGCTGGAGGAGAGTCATGTACATGTAGCTTCAAGCCAGAGATGGTGTGCCGTACACAACATTTTCTGCATGCACAATGGAGTTCAATTGCAATAGGAGTAGCCCTTTGGGAGCGAGGGCTGGCGTTTGTACGTGTTTTATATCAAGATGCAGTCGCTTAATCATCGAAGAACAGGCAAGGATGAAGAAGACGACGCGTGGGCGCTAGAGCTCGAGGAGGAGCTCGACCTCACAGGTATTCGCTACGAGGGGCGGCTTAATCAATGTGCGAGACGGCTAACGCTGATAGAATCGATTGATTATCATGCGTATATTACTAGGTAGTGTGAATGTGCACGAACCAAAATTGGATCTAGAGGAGAAGCTATCACTTGGAACGAAGCAGAGGGACGAGGATAAGACAGCTTTGGCTCTACCATCGGTGGCTGCAACTTTGCCACAGGAGGTGCTCGCTCTCATCATCGGTTTCGGGCAAGTTGGACGAGTGTGCAAGTCCTGGAGTCTCGCTAGTGTTGCAGTCACCCGTCGTCGCTTCTCGTCCCGACTTGCAGATATTCTGCGTCCCATGGACCCAAAAGCTGTTGCAGTGGCTCTCGATGTGGAAACCGAGCTTTTTACTGCTTACGGGCAAAGGTGAGCTTTGGTTGTCGTCAAGTAGATTCGAATAGCGGTTGGTTATGTTGGTTATGCTTTATTGAAATCTCTGTGTGTTACAACTGCAGCTACTCATTGACGAAAGCGTACGCGCACAAGGCGCGGACGCTTCTATTTAACCTGAAAGATTCTCGTAATGTTGACCTGCGTAACCGACTTTTGACTGGTGAGCTACCATCCAACAGTCTTGTGCGTATGAGCGGACCCGATATGGCCAACCCTCAACTAGCTCGTAAGCGCAAGGAGTGGATCAAGAAACGCACGCACGAGGTGATGCGGGACGGTCGCGAGGCAGAAGGCTTCGAGTCGGACCTATTCGAATGCCGCAACTGTGGCAGCTCTCGCACCCGTTACCGTCAGTGGCGTCGCAAAGCTGTGGTTGACCGCACGCGGATTATAGTCATTTGCCTGAGGTGTCCGTACCGATGGGAATTGTAGAGGATACTTATTTGACTGTATTAAAATATGCTTTTAACATTTGAACATCTCACGTATTAAAAAGTGTTGACAACGGGCGCTCCGCTAAGGCTGGATCGAATTATCAGTCAACACGAAGTCGAAGTACCATAAGGATAAGAGAATTAGTTTGCCGCTTTGGCTCATCGACACTTCGGCTTTCAGGTCATAATATCTTCCAGATTTTTGTTTGGGAGCCGCAGTAGCGGTAATAGTCTGATAGCCAAGTAATAGGGAACTAATAGTCCGACTATTAGGAGTATTTTAAGCTCGTTATAGTAATAATAGAAGAGTATTATCTAAAATTGGGGTTAGATTGTAATAGTGGAGTACTATCTGGTTACACTGGCGATTCCCGCTTAGAGCAACGGTTAATGAGCAATGCAGAACTCATCCAAATTGGCACACAGGGGTGAAGCTCGCTGTACGCCGTCAGACGAGTGAGCGGTTCGTCCCACGAGAGCCCTGCGGTTCACAGATCAACGCTCATAAAATCTACAAGCAGCCGCTGGAGCGATTCTCGTTCATTCTTCAAATTTCCAGAAGACCAAGATTACTACCAGTACCAGCCCCTGCAAGCCGACCCCATGAAGTGCGCGAATCCTGACTGCACGTGCGCGGAGCTCGCCACGACTGATCCAGGTATCGTTTGTGGACGTGGTGTTCACCACATCTGCAGTGATGAGCTCTATGAATCCGGGAAGTTGTCGGAGCGTTTTTGCAGTGCGGCGTGCGTGTACCAGTTGAAGACGGTGACATCGCCTCCATCATCGGCTGCGGATAGTGACATTGAGCCACGGGAACCTCTCGTCCAACCAAGCCAGGTGCTTCAACTGTCAGTCTCACAAGAGCCATTTCTTCCACTCACTTAGCCAACGCAAGCAGCCACGACACCATCAGTGACGGATTTGACTGAGTCGAGAGCGTATTTTCTCCCGTTTCTCCATGCCGCTCGTCGCCCTCGTCTGGAGTCGATGCCTTTGGTATCCCCCTCGGAATTGTTCATTACCGCCAGGAGAATTGCCGTCACGAAGTGTGGGATGTTGCTCATCGCCTGGCAACACCGTTCGTGAAGACACGTGGTCGCGACAAGGAGGCATTCAGCCATGTCTGTCTCTTGTGTGCCCAGGAGTTGACTTGCCGGCCTTACGCATCGGCTAGAGCTTGGGAAGGCGCTCTGCGCCGCTGGACCAACACGTCCAATGTGAAGGCGCACATGGTGGCCGCTCACGAAGACCACCAGCTTGGACAAGCTGAGGCATGCGCAAGGTTGGAAGCTGCTACTCGTAACTTTGACGAAGCCACTGATCATGCCAGTAACTCCAAGCGATCACTTTCATCGGCTGAGAATGAGCGCGCGGTTAAACGACGTGGAAGACTTCAGAACTTGTGGGCCCCCACCCAGCGAGATATCAGCGTCTACATTGCACACTAGTTGATCAGTTCAGGGCTAGCTTACAACACGGTTGCGAGCGAAGGCTTCAAGCTTTTGGTTCAGCGATTGACCGGTGACCTTGGGGCTACGATACTAGCTGCATCGACATTCCGAGACTTACTGACTGGGGTATGGTTCAAGCACTGTAAGAAGGCAGGTGACTTCTTGCAGCGAGAGCTCAAAGCAGCTCATGGCCCATTCCTAAATCTGCATCACGACGGATGGACCACCGGAAACGGCAAGGTTGGTGTGCTCGGGACGTCCGCTTCGTTCATCGACAAGACTTGGACTCACTGTAAGATTGCTCTCCTTCTCACTGTTGGAAACCCATCGCATGCAGCTACAGACATGCAGCGGGTGATCTGCTCGCGAATTCGCGAACTGTACAATGTTGACATCTCCGCAATGACTCAATTTACGGTGTCGGATACCACTGCAAGTGCTAGAAAGACCTCCAAGCTGTTCGAGGACTCGATTGTCACCGACTGTACGATGCACGTGTTGAACTTATGCCTGCAGTACGCGATTGGAATGACGGAGAACAAGGAAACGGTGGAAGTGTATGATCCAGCCACGAACTCTTGTAAGCGTGAAAAACGCTACTGTACGGTTGGAGGCGCCTTTGAGGAAGGGCGGGATCTGATCAAGCGCGTGCGTGCGCTCAACAACTATTTCTCCACCCAACAGCGCTGCCAGCGCTTGGAGAAGATGCAAGAGTTCTACGGCTTGCCAAAGATTGGCCCCACGCTAGACTGCGACACTCGTGTTGCTTTCACGGTGAAGCTACTTGAAAGATCCATTGTGAACTACTCAGCGTTCCAGTACTACTCCCAGTGCCGTGAGAAGGGTGACGATTCATCGGTCTTCGAGTGCTTGGAGCACACCGACTGGCGTTTGATGGCAGAGATGGAGTCAATTGTGGGCCCAATCGCGAACCTTGCCCGGATTGAAATGCAGCGGAGTGACCTTGTAGCGTCCGAGCTCATCGTATTGTTGAAGTTCGCGGCCGATCGGCTGTACAGCAACAGCTTCTCGATGTTCCATCTTAATGCACCGCGAGATCCGATGACCACAGTGGATACATTTCGTCGCATCTCGATCTCAGGTGAAGCTTTCAGCGGGCTTGCACGTGTTTGCTTGGCGCGGATGAAGGGTCAGCTGAAGAAACGAATCGGGACTGCTACTGCCGAGACGGTTTTGATCCTGCTACTCGATCCACGGACCAAGTTTTCTGTGGAATCCTTGATCGCACCTTCAACCACACCTGGAACCGAAAAGCACGCAAGTGATGGAGAATCCCAGCAATCCCAGCAAAATACAGAGATTGTCAGCGCAGGCAGCAAGCTTTTGGTTGATGCGCATCGGGAGATGTTCTGCTCTCTTCGCGATCGTGATCTCAACGCTGTTGGGACTACCGCTACTACGACATCGCGTAACTTGACCTTGTCCCTTACGCTGACGGCGAGGTGATTTGTGGCGCTCCGATCGAGGCTGTGACGGAAGGTGAAGCTCTTACGCTGACGTTACACGAGCAAGCGGACAGAGTGCTGGAGGAATGGCTGCAATATACGGTTGACTGGGTCGCCACTACTGTGCAGCAGGCACCGGGGAAGACAAAGACCAGTGACGACTTCGCACCGCTTCTGTTGGTACGCCGAAACGGGTCCGTGTGTTGGCGAGTCGAGGCCGTCTGTGAGCATGTAGATATTCTCCGCTGGTTTCGTGAAGTCGGCAGCTCTCGCTTCCCATCAGTTGCAGCGCTGGCTCGGATTTGGTTGGGAAGAGCCCCATCCAACGCCTTTCAGGAACGCGTTTTCTCTACCGGTGGGATCGTAATGAGCAATCGGCGTACTCGGACGGATAACTACCAAGCGGAGATGCAAGTACTCCTGAAGCACAACCAGAAGGTGGTCAAGTATATCGAGTCCAGCGATGCCGAAAATGTGGCTCTGTAGGTATCTTTAGCTGCTGGTGTGGTGGTCAGTAGTAATACTCCACTAATATAGCAGTAATATTACTTAGACCAGTCAGTCAAGTCGATAATACGATCATGTTATTAGGAGCTAATTATGTGGTGGGTATTACTATATTACTTTTGGTAAAAAATCGTTCTACTATCAATCTCTGGCCATAGGTATTAATACTTTCAAAATAATCCTGAAATTGTCCTGTCCAAAGGTTCAATTTGTCGACGATTTTGGGTAGGCATTAGCTTTCTATTGCACTTTTTTTACACGCTCATTTCCGCCACCTACACTCCTGGACACAATTGTACGGCCATCTCGTCGAGTGCCCATAACTGAGTCAATTTTTATTATCTGACGGTGCGGTTCTCACACAAGTTGCAAAACATGCTTCGAAATAGCAAGGACGTGCTAACGTTCGCGTTTTTTTTCTTCACTTTTTAGGGAGGCTCACATTCGAAAAAGAGATTTGTGAAGGTGGTCAATTTACGGACCGTCAGATTAACAAAAATTGACTGTACGCGACGAGGTGGCTGTATGTGACGGGGTCACACAGCACCTTGCACAGAGGAAATACTTAAGGGTATTTACTACCCGAGTGAGCGTTAGTCCACGTGTTCCCGGCCTCAGTGGGAACGGCTTGCTACTTTGGAGTAGTAGATGTAAGACTGGTGTATTTATAAGTAAGGTTAGCTTGGGTTCCATACAAACTGGATGCTACCTTTAGTGGAGCCATATAGTTATGCCCTGACTGGCTCCTAGAGCACTTGGTACCGTATACCAGGTGTCCACAAGAGTGACGGGTCACTCTTTCTGTAACCAGGTGTACACCGGATTGTACCCTGCTACACCCTCCCCCACTTAACTGAGAATCACCTGATTCTCCAATCACAACTGATCCCCCAATCAGAAGTGAGAGAATTAAAACACCGAAACGTGAATTCTCACACTGAGCAGCCATGAGACTGGCGCGGCTCTCAGTCACACCCACAGTGACTTGTGCTCTCAAGGCACACTGGGATTTGCATCCCTTTGCTCACAACTGTGTTGACCGGAAAGCCTTCATTCAGAGCTGCCTTAGCCCCTGCGCTAGCGCGCGTACTGTGCTTTGGTATAGGGTGCAATAGCATCCGAACGTGTGGCATTCACCCACGGTTCGCACCGGAGGACACGACAGTCCTTGCGAACGCGTCCGGAGCATGGTTCTCCCGCGAGGGACGACACCGAGAAGGACAACATCTGCCCCAGCACTAGAGGCAGGAGGCCGAGGCCGTAAAGTGAGGAAGAATCTCGCGTCATCCTTCACAGCGGCGCACAAACTTTAATAGAGGTCCTAGATCATTTGGTAAGGGGTGGGGACATCAAGCGAAAAGTTTATTTCTATCCTGATCTTTCTCAGTCTAAATATGACAGCCGCCGTACACTTCGTGAATGAAATCCTTATATCGGGTGATTTAGACATGGAGATAGGAGAATTTAGTTTGGACGATGATTTTAACGAGCCGTTGCAACAACAATTGATTTTTTTTAAACATTTTGGATAGACGGTACATGCGATTTCTGGTCTATGTGCGAACACTTTTCTGAATGTCATAACCAAGGCAATTCGGTAGGCTAAGCTTAAGTTAAATTTGCAAACTATAAGTCACCTATTTAAAAGCAATGTCATCAGCCAATGGTTGGCCTCGGACAACCCTGGTACCTTGTACCAAATATCCCGAAGTATGACGTGTCACGCTTCATGTAACTAGGGGTACATTTAAGGCTACGTGCCCGTTACATCCTCCCCCACTTAGGTTCGATTTACCGACCAATCAGAATGAAGAAGTGAAAGTCACAAATGTTTATTCTTAAGGTCGAAATACATCGACTCGGCCGAACGAGCGCGGCGGAGGCTCACTTCACAGTTAGAGCTTCAGCGGTTGAGCGCTCTTCTTCTAGGTCTCCACATTGACCATTATCATGCCCCATTGCACTTCGAAGAGCGGTGCGAAGACACGCTCTGTAACGGGGTACGTAGCCCTAAGTGTACCCCTAGCTACATGAAGTGTGACACGTCATACTTCGGGATGATCTACATGGTACCAGGGTCGTCCGAAGCCAACCATTGGCCGATGACATTGCTTTTATATACGTGACTTATAGTTCGTCTATTTAGCTCAAGCTTAGCCTGCCTATAAATATACTCAGTTTACAACCTACCTTAAATTGGTCACTTCGCTCCCTTTAGGTAAAAAGGGGACCTGTGAGCTGCCGTTCACTGAGAGTTTGTATACTCTCAGAAGCCAACTTCCTCTAGCGCAAGGTGCTGTGTGACCCCGTCACACTTGGTAGCACTCGCTGTCAATCCACGCCAACGCGGGTAGACTATCTGAACCTCTCTGAAGTTTGTTGCCATGGATAAGAACGACTTCTCCCATCTGAACGACTCACAGTTCGAGTCGGTTTGGAAGATGGCTGGCATCTTCGGGATGGAGGCCCTGCAGAGCCTGGTGGTGTCAGCTCCGGCCGAGCAGCTCGAGCACGCCAATGCGTTTGACGCTTACGAGCAGGGGCTCATCGCGCATGTGCGGGAGAACCGGCAGGCCCCGGCGGCGGAAACAAATCCGCCAAACCCGAAGCCAATACGGCTGAAGTTTAGGCCGTATGAAGGGAAGGAAGGTGATAGCCTTCACTTCTGGGTCCGAGAGGTAGAGCTCGCGATAGACGCGTCTCTGATCTCGACCGAGCAACTTTGTGTTGCTTTGCTCTCTCCAACCTTAGTAAGGACGCGGTCGCGGCAGCCTCCATCTGTAGGTGGAGGCTGGATAATTCCTCCAGTTGAGGTAGCGTCGTTCTCCACCTCCATCTGGAGTATCTTTCCTTTCAAATCATCAGCAGCCAATCAGGTTAGACCTCCTCTCAACGCCGTCTACGCAATACGCAGTCATTTCCCCACCTGAGACCCAAAGACATTTTAATAGAAAAGTTATGAGGCGTCGTCCTTCCGGGCTGTATCAGCGGCGACCAGTACAGACAAGTGAATCTGGATCTTCGCGAACTAGTCAACCGCGAGATCCGTCAACGGAGACAGGAGTCTCGCAACCTGTGTCCGAAGGCGTCAGCGGAGAGCCGTTTGCATGGACAACACGTGCAGCTGATGCTCTTCTTAGAGTTCGTTTCGAGTCAATGGCGTATCGGTTCGGTGGTGCAAAGAGCTCCTCTCAACTAAGAGCAGCCTGGATCATGGTTGCAGCTGAAGTTTCTCGTCTTGGTGGCATAGTGGTGAGCCCGACACAGTGTAAATCGAAGGTGGAGTGTATTTGTCAAATTATTTATGTGCTTGGCTTGTGCTAACTTGCTGTTGCTATTTAAATATGCGTAGATTAAATACATGCAGAAACAGTATACAGAATATCGCGTTGATCAACGTGACACCGGCAACAGAACTGAGATTCCCCTTCGAGAGCCTGCCAGCTACGGGACAATGTGTGAGGTGTGGGGAAATATGACAGGCATGCAAAGTGAAGCTTTTTATTCAAGTGATACACGTCTACAACAACAGCCGGCACCTGATAGTACTGCGGAAAATGCTGCAGACAACACTGGCGATACGGAGGGATGAAACAGCTCGTCAGGGCAATATGAAGCGGGCATAGGGCGACAGAGAACAGGTAGTGCCACATCGTCAAGCGATCGTGGTCAAGGCTGGTGAGCTAATCGCCCATCAAAGCGTCACAAAACTGTGACACTGGCGGAAGGCATGCTAGCCGTACATGACGGCTTGCTGGAAATTGCAGAAGCCTTTACAGCTTCAAAAGCACCTGCTCCACCAGCCACTACGAACACTAACAATGAGATTTTGCAGTCGCTGCATACATTGACGGAAAGTGTTCAAGCGCAAACAAACATACTCAATTAGTCCACCTGGTCACTGCAGCAAACACCGATACCAGAAACCAACAACACCCGAGCCTGAACAATAACACTTCAACGCAGCAAAATTAAGATTTCATAAACAAATAATGCCAGCAATTCCGCTGCGCTTTTCCTTTCCAATTTTGCGAAGTATGGTGGCGTCTGCAGTGTAGCGTTCGTCCACCACCACCATTTCATTTTCAGAGGTCTCAACAAATGATGTTATCTGTGTGTCATCGTTCAAGCCCATCATCAAATTGTGAAGGACAATCGTCGCCATAACCACGTGCATCGTTTTAATCAGTGTATTCTCATCCATCACAGTTTGCAATACACGAAAACGGTCCTTCCAGAGTCCAAACGTGCACTCTACTGTCATGCGAGTGCTCGAGTGAAGAAAATTGTACCGACGTTGCTGCGAATTCAACCCCCCCCATCTTCTTCCCGCTCTGCAAACGGTACCATAAGATATGGCAGCAATGCGTACCCAGAGTCACCGATGAACTGAGTGTCAGCAGGGATAACTGAACAAGCATCGCGTCCAATTATACTTTGTTTCCAGCATTTACTATCAGACCATGAGCCAGAACGAATCTCCACACTCATGAACTTGTTGCTGGCTGATACTATAGCTTGAATATTTATAGCAGGATAGCCTTTTTCGACAGTAAAATCCTTCATAGTCCTCCGGCCGATCTATTTGGAGCAGCGATCCGTCGACTGCCCCAACTACACCAATATACCCACGACGCACCATGAAATCCATCTGAACTGCATCCCAACCATCTAGATCACGAGGAAATGACACGACCTCTTTCGAAACTAAATACAAAACGCGAGCAACTTCATCCACGATGTCAATCACGTAGCTTTTGCTCATTCCCATTGCTGTTGCAGTTTCTCGGTAGCCACCAGACGACGCGAAAAAGTAGAGAGCTGCTGCAGTTTTTATCTCGTACGAGTGCTGCTTGACCACAGCGTTTGCAAACAAAATACCACGTAGCTTTAATAGCTTTGCAATGGCAAGAAACGACGCCTTGGAACACCGAAGATGCTGTGGAAACTGCCCCTCACAAGTAGAGTCACAGAGCAACCTCTCAAAATGTAACACAGTCACAGTACGTCGCTGTAGTACCTCATCCCCGTGCCGACCGCATGCGACCAGAGCGACGACGTTGGCAACGAGTGCTGCGATAAGGAGAAGCACGTCCTCTCTGTCCATTTTCTCTAGATACTCGATGTTTATCCAGCCTCCTCCACCTTCCAAAGATGGAGGAAAATAATGACATAATCCTCCTGTTGTGCTATCGAGAGGTAATTTCACCAGCCAATCATAAACCTCTAACATTCTCCTGTCGAGGCATTCTCCGGATGGAGAACTGACGCGACCACGCCCTAAGAGTTGGGTGTACACGCGGGTGGCAACATCCCCTGAATGTTTCACATCCTGAGCTCAGCTGTGCGAACAGCTCCGAGCAGCGTTCCTCTTGGCGAATTACGAGTACCGCCAGCGCTCGCGCTTCCTCTCATGCAAGCAAGGGAGGCGTGAGCTGCACGAGTACGTCTAAGAGATACGGG